AACAAAGAGGTTGCTTGATAATCTTTTGCACAATCACCCGCCAAAATCTAACTGGTATATCACTTGCCAAACTTCTAGTTCGCAAGCAATTTCAATTCTAAGTTCAAATCGTCAAGTGTATATTGCATCTTTTCATTTGTTGTGGCCAATAAGTTTAATGTCTGCATCTACAACAGACTGTCATTTCATGATCCTCATTTTCATTTATTTTACTGTCGCAGCATAAGCAATTTTCATGTCGACATTTTATTGTTGATCGATTATATGTTCTTTGGTAATAAGATCTCACAATCATTAAGTTTCCCAAGTATTCATATACTTTTTCTAGAAGTTAATTCACCTTAATGGAAAACTATTTCAGTTCAAAATTCTTATGAATTATAATCATTCGTATTTATCATCTCTATAGATTTAAACCTTGTCATGTACGAGGATTTTTATCATTTGGAATCAATGGTTCTACCACTCATCAAATGGAGATTCAACTAACAAATAGTGGTAGTTAGTCCTTCAGGGACACATTATCAAATTCTAAATTTTAACAGTCTCTTATATAAGATATATTTATACATTCGGTCAGGTAAATATCTGGTCTTAAACATTATCTTTTGAACTTTAGGTTCATATCATCGAGGATCATAATAAGATAATTACATTGTCCATCTAATTTTATAAATAGGTTGTTTTAACTTCTCCCCCAGATATTGGGATAACTAACTCGTTAAAATGGCGATTAACCAATGGAGCAGTTAATAATCTCCCTTTTGAAAGTAACTAACTCGTCAAAATAATATGATCAGTTCATCGAGTAGTTAATCCAACACCAATAATTTTAAAAATTAGAGATTCAGTATTCAACATATATTTCTAACCTCTTCCGAAGGCTCCTTTTTGTGTGCATTGTGGTGGAGCAATTATCATATATAAACTGCACATTTACATATCTTGAAGATGGATATGGATGATTTCTGACCGAAACCAATATTTAGGAGAATATTTAGAATGACCCGTTCGGTCTTATGCATACAATTTGTGCCTTTTTGTGTTTCAACACTTCCTCAATTACACATGAGGTAATTACTTTAATTGAACACATGCAATAAACGATTCTACTAGACCGCTTCATTATTGCTCTTATAGGCACGCAATGTTCAACTTTTTCATCTGGTATTGAGCCATACACTCACCATAATTGCCAAGTCTAAATTCTCGTAAGAAAAGAATATGAAATTCTGCAAGTTACCAGATTAACTCCATAATTAAGTTTGCAAACTTCGAGTATAAGTTAACGAGAATCATACTTGTGGCTATCTCATCGACACATTAATTGGTACTCTAATTATTTGGAAGAAACTCTTGGTTCTCCAAATTTAAATCACACTAACTTTCTTGTTTTGTCTTAAAACCAAAATGCCTTAAGTAGTTATGCCAAAGTTTAGAATTTCTCTTCTGGAGAAAATAATGCACTTATTATTTAAATATGCCAAATCAATTCTTATTCATGGGAGCATATACTCTGAGAAAGCATGTCTAATTAACTCAATATTCAACTTTTATCCCATAAGACAGCCATTAGAACATTGATATATACTCTTCAGGATTATTTGTTCATTCCATCAAAATATTCTTTTGCTAATTTTGTCAAGGGATTTAATACCTGATTTTTTATGGGAGATTCCATCCAACATTCTGGCAGAATTTGATTACATGTGCCATTAGATATTGTAGCATTTAAGTTATTTCACTTGTAGATACCAAATTCTGCTCTTCAGTAGCTTTTATCTAATTTTACGGAGAAGTTTATGTACATGCTCTACAAAAGCATTAATCCAATAAAGTATAATCAAATTCTAGGTAATGATCAGTCATGAAGCTTTTAATAATCAGTTGATTAAGTAATCCGACTATTAATGCATATATGATTGTAGCTGTCGCGAGAATAGTCAAGAACATACACATAAAACAGAGACATATCAAGACGCCTAGCATATTCTAAAAAACATCCGAGAAAACAAAATCCCCTCAGTCCTGGAGCATCCTTAGTCTAGGACTAGGACTCGAACCAAAGGGCAACGGTGGCTGAACGGCTTTAAAACTAACCATTTTTGTGTTAATGCATGTTTAAACAGAAACAAAATATCATTATTCAATTATGATCCGACGATTAATCATTTTTTTTTGTTAACCATGCAAATCCAATATTCAATTTATAATAAAGCAATATTAATTAAATGGACAAAAACTAACAATCATGCGTGTCTCGCATAACACTAAATTATGGGCGAATTGAATCTTGCCTCCAAAATATCCATGGCGTGTACCGTCTCACACAAAACTACATTGAAATCTCAAAGGTTAATGAGTGTATGCATTTCCAATTATAGGGTGTCTTTGATTCAGTACAACATCTATAGTGCCATGTGGTCAAAGTGACCAAAAACAAAATCCGTGATCACTTCGGATAACTATTTATTCCAATAAATTCAATTTTGTTCATCAAGATCAGTTCAACAAACAAAATTTGTTCACATACAATTGAAGAAAACAAAACCTCTCTTGTGCCCACGATAGGTATTCAAAAACAAAACAAAACAAAGCATACACATGAACCCATATTAGTTTCGCTTCAAAGTTTTTTCTCATACCTCTTTCATTTGATTAAAATAATGTAATCACGCTAGTGAAGCACAAATCCAGTTCCAAGAACAAAGCATACACGTAACCATCAAACAAAGCTTTGCTTTATTAAAATTTGTTTAAATTTCCCGAAACCCTTGTTTCAATTATCAAAAACCCTACTTTTTAATTAAACAAATTCTAACGCAGAACCAAGATCATTGTGATTCAAAATTAATCATGCACATTAAACTCTTCAAATAACCAAAAATAAATGGTAAACCAATTTTAAAGTAGAATACATTAAACACTAGTTTTTTTTTGTTTTTTTTTATTTTTTTCAATAGTAGGATAAATAAACGTACATGGATGTATCCCATTAGTTCAGCTTTTACTCATTTGTTATAGCATCTTCACTAAAGCATCTCGTTTTAATGTATCCCAGAACACCCACTAAAAGTCCAACTACGCAAATGCCTAATGACCACTAAATTCCAACTTCATAGTCAGCGTGCCAAAAAAAAAAAAAAAAAAACCTTTTCCGCATTAAAACGAGGGAAAAAGACAGAATTAGACAGACCTGAGCTTTATCTTCAAGCCGAACAACCAAACGTCCAATGGGAAGGGGAGATTCGTGTAGCTGTAATTGATACACGCAGTACACATTACTTATTATCGCACAAAACAGGCGCACAAAACAATCCTCTAAGTAATCCGCTCGGTCGTGGTAGAGAAACAAATCTCCAAAAATATTTTCAGTCACAAAAACTAAATATTTATTGAAAACTTCAGTCTTCCAAAATTAATATACACCAATTAATATACACCAATTTTAAACAGTGATATTATAAAGCTTTTTTAACTAGAACTTTGGTATTAAAAAGCTTTGCTTTTTGGCTAGAACTTTGTACGGATAACGTATTATAAAAATGAATATAGACTAAGAAGCAGATGAATATAGACTAAGAAGCAGAACTATGAGAAAGAGAGAAAGAAGATTCATGTGTATCTTATTCAATAGGGATTGGTTTATATTTATAGTTGATTTATATTTATAGCAAATAGATACAGAGATAAAATCAATAAATACGAGTTCTAACTAAATATTATTTCTATACATGAAATCCTAATATAACTTTTTTATCTTATAGACATCCACATTATTAATATATTTATAACATTTGACTATATTTCTGCACTAACGAAAATGACAAGGAAAAAGAAAAATTGAAAGCAGGTATATGGTGACCGAAGAAACCTCCTCTTGTCTTTTTCATCAACCAAAATACTTATACTTCCTCCGTCCCATAATTATTGTCCAATTTGAGTTTTCACATTTAGTGCAATTTGAACTATAAATAAAAACTCAAACAGGACAATAATTATGGGACGGAAGGAGTATAATAATACTTGTAACAACTACTCTTTGATGTCATGTAACATGGAAAATCGATTGTCAACATACACCATCCGAATATTCCAGCTCCAAGTATTGTTTGATTCTTTTCCAAAATGTTTTTTTGAATATCTTTTATTGTGATTAAAGTTTAACTACCAATCTCGCAGTATTATATAGGAGATAAAATTGAGCTATAACACGAGCTTATTCGATGCAAATTCGAACAAGTCAGAATAGTAATTTTGTATACCGAATAAGTACAATATACAAAAGTATACCGAATAAGTACAATATACAAAAGAAAAGAAAGAATTAGAATAGAAATTGAATAACAGTTTAGTGATTAGAATATTATGTATCTTGAGAATAAACACTCCAGCTCAATTCCCACCACGATTTTATAGAGGGGTTTCGGGGACTTATTAGGCTAGATTTTTTTTAAAAGAAAAAAGAAAGAAAAAGAAAAAAAGAGTTGGAGACCTAAGAAATTAACCTTCGCACATCTCGTCCTTTTCATCAAACATATCTAAAATACAAGTTTATATGCTTAGAGTTCATAATGAAGTAATTTGAGTTCCTTGATTATTTATATACAGCTCTATCATCTTGTCGCGGACCCTCGGACGTGGGATACATAAAAGACATTGGAGAATAAGTTAATTCTCCTACTAAAAATAGTACTCCTAGCATCTCGAGATTAATTACTGTTCAGTTTGAATTTTCGCTTTTAGTTTAAATATTAAAATTGAAAATTTAAGTTGGACAATAATCTTGAGACATAAAGAGTAATCTTTTAAAAGAAAAAAATTCAAACACGAAAATATTTTAGAACGAAGAGAGCAATATTATTTGGTACAAAGTGTCATCATTGAGCATGCATGGATGAGATTTGTCATCTGCAATTTGTTCCTCATAATATAACTATTTTACATTTTCGACGCTGAAGTTCGAATGTGCTCAGATGAGTTAACGTTTTAATTTGAATTAATATGTGTATGTTGAAGACATTTCACAGACGTAGAAAATTTATTGGAAGAATTTCACCTCCTAAAAATTGTTAAATAGCTCCGAAATATGGGTATGTAATAATAAAAAAAAAGTTAAGATGTAAAACAAAAACTACAACCAATTAGTATATATTAGTAAACTCTAGAACAGGTACGTTATACCTAAAAAAAGAAGTTCTGCCAAAGGTTGGCCAATTAAGATTTGACCATGATTCCGGTGATAAATCTCACAGGTGAAAATGCAAAACCAGGCACAAGTTCTTGGGTTTCTGCAAGAGAAAAGGTCAAAGCAGCCATGGAAGAGCACGGTTATTTCTTAGCGATTCATGATCAGTTTTCATCAGAAGCTTCTGCTGCAGTTACGGAAGCGTTGAAAGAAGTGTTTGACCTTCCATTAGAAGTCAAGAAACGGAACGTTTCGGATAATCCATTTTACGGTTACCGGGGACAGAAGCCTTCCATGCCTCTCTATGAAAGCCTAGGCGTCTTTGATGCATCATTGGCTCGTGATATTGAACCAATCCGAAGTTTTACAAACTTAATGTGGCCTTCCGGGAATCAGAGCTTCTGGTACGATATATATATATATATATATATATATATATATATATGTATATATATATTCCAATTAGAATTTTTATTTTTAGTTCAGTACGTATTATAAGTAAAAATCCAAACTGTATCATTATTTTTGGATGAACGGAGTATGTTTTTGCATTCAATCTACTACATGTATAAAAGCTTGCTGAAAAATTAGATTGAAATTTTCTGACCGATTGATATATTACTCATGTTCCCAAAATGATTATATTTAGTTTGAATTTTCAGTTTTAATGTATTTAAACTAGACAATCATTTTGAGACAAGGGAGTATATGTATATGTATTTATACATTAACCTGCTGGTTTCGTTGAGCAGCGAGATTATGAATTATTTCGTCAAGAAACTGTCGGATGTGGATCGAATGGTGAGTAGGATGATTTACGAGAGCTACGGATTGGAGAAGTACTATGATCGTGATTGGAACGTTGAATCAGTGGCTTACTTATTCAGAATGATGATTTATCGGGTTCCGGGAAGTGGTGATGATCAGTATTCCAACGTTGGATGTTTGCCTCACAGTGACAAGACGTTGTTGACCGTAATTCACCAAAATGAAGTCAATGGATATCAGGTCAAAACCAAGGCGGGAGAGTGGATCACCGTTGACTTCCCCCCTTCTTCCCTTCTCATTACCGCCGGCGATTCTCTATCGGTTAGTTATCAAAATTATTGCTAAGTAAATAATTGGTACATCATTAAATTAATGAATCAGCTGTAATTGGGGCCATGTCTTTATAGATTATTTCTTTATATACGTGTGTTCGTTCATCGAAGTAAACTGACTCGAAATTTGATGCGATAAATTTATTCAGTAAAATATTGGTTCAGAAACTGGAGAAGAGCTACTTACATATTATGCTTACTAGACACAAGTATTTCCTTCGTCCCAAAATTATTATCCAGTTTGGGTTTTTAGTTTTAGTACGTTTAGGTTTTCAACATACTAAAACTAAAAACCTAAACTACATTATAATTTTGGGACGAAGAGAGTAATTATTGTATAAAATTATAGATGTTATATTACTGATCGTTGTTGTATAGTTTATTGGATAAGAAATACATCTTTTCTCTTTCATATTCAACGATAAAGAATAAAACATTACTTATAATCTAATTGGTGTTGGATTAGGGATGGAGCAATGGGAGAATATATGCCCCTGTGCATCAAGTAATAATGAGAGAAAAGGAAGCAAGATATACACTTGGAACATTTTCATTTCATAAGGGAACCATACAAATTCCAAAAGAGCTGGTTGATGATGAACATCCACTGCTTTACAAGCCGTTTAATGTTGAAGGACTGCTTGAATATTATGGCACCGAAGAAGGTCAGCAAGCTCCGGATCTTCTCAAGGCATATTGTGGGGTTTGATGTAATTTAATCCACCACCTGCTCCATTATTCATGGTTAAACTCGAGAAATTTAAAGAGTTGACATGGTTGATTTCAAAGTTAAATGGTTGTGTATGGTGTTAATGTTTCTTGTTTTCTTCGGCGGGGAGTACCACGAGACTCACCACCAGCAAAGCAGAGAACAAAGAAGACATTTTATTTTGGTATTTTAACATTAAAATCTTCATATAATTAGCATTCTACTTTCTTAATTTCTAGTACATCTTTAGTGCAAACACTGAGTAATTTCTTTTCTATAGTATTGATATAATCAATAAAAACATAAAAAATTTAAAATGAAATTGAACATTCGAAAAGGCAAACATAAAATAAAATAAAATCGCATTCCTAATATTTTCTTAATAGGAATAATTATGTATATTTTGTAGGATAAGACATTGGTCACTCTCAAGTTTCTGTGAATCTATCATTTTATTTGTTTTTAAACTACCCTAAGCGTCCAAAGGTAAAGCGTTTAACTGATCCATTATTTTCTGCCCCAAAAGTGAGTTAAAAGAAAACGGATAGATTTCCAAGTTTACTGTTAAACATACGTTAACAAGTTGGGATCAAAATACATAGAAATAGAGTAATTTTAATTTTTTCCAGTCCAACCATATAAGGTGCTTTCATAAATTTCGTATTTTCTAATTAAAAATAAAACCTTAAAAGTATTTTTTTATATATATTGTGTTCTAATATTTTATTTTCAATTAGAAAAGGATAATAAATAAAACTTAGAAAAAATAAAAATACCTTATAATAAAGACCGTTGGAACTTGGAAGTACTTACAAATCTAAAATAATGATCTTAGTACATTCTTGTGCAAAATATTGATCTTTATAAATTAGCGTTGCCCATTATTTGTTGAACACTTTATCTATGTTCTTTTGGATGTGTGTAGTAAGGTTTTTCATATTTTTCAATTAATACTCATTTCATCTCATAAAAAAAAAGAATTTATAATACAATTTGTGAAATATCTTGTTTTCAATAAAGTTTATTTATATAACTTAATAAAAGAAAACCCAGAGAGAGGAAACCCGGATAGTTTTTCACTTGCAACGTAGAACTACCAATTTTCTCCATTTTTTATTTATTAAAAAGAAAAAAAAATTATCTTCGGTTAAAAAACTCTTAAGGAAAAAAGATAAGAAAAAAAAAAATATTACTTAAGTAATCATCCGGTAGAAGATTCTGTTTTCAAATAATTCGAAATAAATCTTACCCGATTTTATCTTATCTTACCCAAATCTTCTATTCTAGTTGGAAGTTTTTTTAATTTTAAATCATACTTAATTTGTTGAGTCAATCTATTAAAAATTTTGAAAGGCCATTGATTGATTTATTTTTTTCTTGAGAATTTGATGCCATGGAAGAGCTAATCGCAATTTAAACATAAAAAGGAATTTGGTGATATCGAAGGGCCACTTAATATAACAATTGATTAATAATCTGATTCGGCATCTTCCAAATTTTTTTTCCACAAATTATGTAAGTACGCGCCCTTTGTCTGTATATTAAGTTTATGGTATAAATATCACCATAACAGTACCCCATCTCCATCTTCCATAGCACTAAACCAACAAGCAAAAAGAAGGAAACCATGTATGACTAATGCGATACTGCCTACCGTATTTTCGTATTGCATAACTGTCTTGAAGGTAGAAAAGAGTACAAAGGTATGCGAAACTAGATCAATGAGTTTTTTTTTTTCTTTTTTTCTTTTTTGGTTGTGGTATTCTTTTTATGTGTTAGCATCGCATTTTGTTTCTTTATCGTTGAAAATATGTTAAGCCAAATATTGGAGCAATCTCTCAAATCAAAAGTAGTTGCTTTTAAAATTAAAAATTTATGATCCAATCCCTCTGTCATTACTCATCCCCTCTCGACCTGTAACTGCATGGGGGCTTTTCCCAAAAAAAATTAAATAAAATAAACGTGGACAAATTTAAATTTTTCAGAATATCTGTGGACAGAAATATATTGCTCGGATTTCTGAAATCCGAGTTTTGATTAATATTAGAGATTCGGATTTTGTAAATCCGGATCCATACTTAATAATAAAATAATAATTTCATAAATTTTGTTGAATAATAGTTTTTTTAGTTCTTTAATGAACAGTAAAGCTCGGAATGTAGAATCCGAGTTTAGTTAAAAATTAATAAATCGCGGCGCGAAATTTTTGAATCCAAAAAACCGGAAGTCCGTAATCCGGTTTGATGAATTCGGATTTTAGAAATCCGGATGCCTTTAATTTTGGTTGGTGGAAGTAGGCATGTGCCTTAAATTGGAGGACCAACAAATTAATAAAATAATCCTGAATTGACTAAACTCGGATTTATGAAATCCAAATCTAACACAGTTCGAATTTCGAAAATCCGAGTTACTTACAAACTCGGATTTCGTAAATCCGAGTTTAACGTGCTATAAAAGAAAAAAAATTTCAGGCAGTTCTCATTCGAGAACTGAGTTGGATTTTCTGTTTTTGCAGCTCAAACAAGGGCGAATCGAAGTTTTTGATGCATTCTTGCCTCTAGATACGTGGAAATCGTTATTTGAAAGAGGTTAGATTGCAAAACCATGTTATTTAGTTTATTTTTGTGTTATTTTGATTGTTAGAATGATGTATGATAGATTAGGGTTTATGTTGGTTGGTTGTTTGGATGTTTTAGGTGTTGATTTTGAGGTTAGATATGAGAAATCATAGTTGTTCATGAGATATCGAAGTTGATTTATAAGTATTTTAGTATGGTGTATTTGTTGGAGTATGTATGGTGTATGGTGTATGGTGTATTTTAGAGAATGTATGGTGTATTTTGTTGATTTTGTTATTAAGAAATAATTAGTTATTGATGTTTTTTTTAACAGTTATCAATGGCACGTAATGTATCATACATGCTTAATTTGTATCATACAAGTAAGTATGTGATAGAGAACGGTAGCATCAACACTTTTTCGAATATGCCGGATGATGGTTTGTTTGTCGAAGAAAGGTTGTCATATGAGGGATTGATTAGTAAGATTTGTATGACCCTTGGTTGGGATCCAGCACACGTGAAACTCCACCTTTCTTTGATTTTCGATAGTCCCGGTGGTAGGCGTGTAGTGAAGATCAAGAATGATTCGCATGTAGAGTTCATGAACCGTGTGGATCCAATGTCATGTTTGGATTTATACATAGATTTGGAAGATATCACTCAAGAAGAAAGAGAAGCGAGTTTGGAAAACGTGTCATTTGGTGATTTTCGAAGGGGGGAACGTGCTAGTACTTCTCGAAACCGTGATAAAGAGGACACCTTTATTTGCACAAAATGACTACCGGGAAGAGTTGGATTCCGACTACATAGCTCCAAGTGAAAGCGAAGAAGACTGTAATGTCTCTGGAGAGAGTGATTTTGAAGAAAGTGATGATGAAAGGTTGGAAAATGAAGAAAGGGATTGTAATCTATTCGCCCGACGCCATGTATATAGTAAGATGGGGAACTGGGATGCCTCATGTGTAGACAAGGATGAGTTTGCTCTTAAGATGTGGGATGAGACGCCCGAAGGAATGGACATTGGTGTTTGTTTCAAATCTCAATCAGAAGCAAAGCATGCTGTGAAATTATGGAATATCCATCATAAAAGGGAATATACGGTCGCCGCGAGTAGTCCAAGGACGTGGGCTGTGCGGTGCAGAACATTTAATGTGGAAAGTGAGGATGGTGAACCACCATGTGAGTGGAAGATGCGTGTGTCATTGAAAGCTCACGGCCTTCATGAAATTGTGAGATGGCATGATGCACATAATTGCATGACTCCTGTGAATGATAATGACAATCGGTGTGTGGACGTGTCTTTGATTGCTAGACTCATCAGGAGAAAGGTTGAGGACAACGTAGATTATACGGTAGCCTCGGCACAGAAAGATGTGAAGACCTTATTGAAAGTAGATGTGCCATACAAAAGGGCGTGGCACGGAAGGAGGAAAGCCATAGAAGCGGTCTATGGTGATTGGACCTCCAATTTCAAAGAACTTCCACGGTAAATATCAACTTTTATCCGTGTATTGAAATATTTATAGTATTTTTATTTTTACATGTATTGAAATATTTTAACAATGACTTGTTGTTGTTTAGGTATATCGCTGCGCTTAAGTTTACTAATCCTGAGACTGTAGTAGAGTGGGAATGGAAGGAGGGACAAGAAGGTTGGAACAGGAGAAACCGGACATTTAAATACGTCTTCTGGTCATTTGCACCGGTGGCTGAGACGTTTTTTGAATGTCCACCGGTCATTTGTATCGATGGAACCTTTTTGCGTGGTGGATACAAGGGCAAATTGCTTGTTGCGGTGGTGTATACCGCAAACAAGCACATTTTACCGGTTGCATTTGCGATTGTTGATGAGGAGACAGTAGAGAGTTGGACATTTTTTATGAGGAATTTGAGGTTGTGGGTTGTGTATGATAGAATCGTAAGTGTGATATCCGACTGGAATGCAGGGTTGTTGAGCGCAATGTCACAGATGGATGAATGGCGTGATTTAGGTGATGGTGGGCACTTTCTTTGCCTCCGCCACGTTCGCAGCAATCTTGTGTCGCGATATAATAGCAAAAACGTGAAGCGGTTATGTTGGAAGATGGGCACGACGCTTTCAAGAGTGAAATACAACCGTATGAGGCGAGCTTATTGAATTCAAACCTGCTGCATGGGAGTATCTTCGAGGGATTGGGGGGAGTAACTGGGCTCGATTGAAAGCCGGTCTTCGCCGTTGGGGCATAGCGACAACCAACATTTCTGAGAGTTACAACAATGCGTTGAAAGGGATCCGTTTTTTACCAATTAGAGCCTTGATCGATGCAACCTTTCGCAAAACTGTTAAATTCTATAGAGAAGAACAATTGTCTGCGAGAAATTGCATGACACCGATCCCTCCTGAGTTATGGAAAAAATACGAGAAAATGAATGATAAAGCAGCCAGTTTTGAAGCCATCCCTTTCGATGGTGATGATGCTATGTGGCGTGTTGTTACTGCCACACGCCTAAGTGGCAGGGGTAGGTCTCTGCATACGGTGAACTACGATGAACATAGGTGTTCGTGCAGGAAGTGGCAAGAGTAGCGGATGCCTTGTACGCACGCACTCCAAGTTTGTCGGAGAAAAGGGGATCGGCCTATTGATCTATACCATAGTGTGTGGCGCCTTCCAACGTG